GCAGGGAAAGTCCTGGCTGTGCCAGCAGACCAGTCTGGCTGCCCAAGGAGGGGTCTGGCACAGGGCAGGGAGACTCAACTCTGCTGTTTCTGTGTCTGGGAAGGCAATAAATAAATCCGTGGGAGGCAACAGTGGGATGAGTCAGAGACAAGAGGGAGAGAAAGTCATTCTCTGCAGAGCACATTACCTGAGTCCAGCACGGCACAGTGCTCCGAGGATTCATGTCAGAGGGTGTCCTTGTCCTGATCAAGCTCCCTGAGAACTCCCTGCCAGGAGGGTGATGGGGGGGTGACCCTGCTGGTGAGAGCCTTGGCCATGGCAGGGGCACTGCCAGCAGGAGCATGGCTGGATCCATCCAGCACTGGGGGACCTGGAGGGATTGGGTTGGGGCATTGCTTGAGCTGCAGGACCTGAGTCCTGCTTGTTTCCTTCCACGACCTTGGGCAAGCTTTACATCTTATGGGTAGATCAGCAAACACATGTGGATCCCCATCATCCTCAGGGCATGGAATTCCCCATGAGAAGTGCCCCAGAGCCATGGAGCAGCCACAGAGTCAGGAACAGCAATGCCAGATCTGCTCTCAGCTGTAAATATTGCCAGAGCGTGGACCGAATTTAATCAAAGCAGAGCTTGACTCAGGACTCCAATTCTGTAAATATTGTGCGTGTCAAATGAATTTCATGTGCATCTCCATTTGCCAGGCACAAATACAGCCAGTCTGGCTTCAGGGAATGAAAGGGCAAGGCAAAGCTCCCGACATGGCACACTCTGAGAATTAATAACAACTGGGAAACTTCTGGCCCACTGCAAAATGAGCAACTTTTCTGTCAAGCTGACACCTTGGTGAGGAGACCACACCTGGAGAACCTGCTTGGCCCAAGGACTGGAGCCCCATGGCCTTGCAACTTGATATTTTTAACAAGCTGATGCTCTCTCCACTCAGTTCATGTCTAGCTCAGTGTTTCCGAGGCTGAACATGAAGAATGCACAGAGGGTTGAGGCTGTCACTATCAGGCAATACAGAGGTAGGTAGTTGTCAAAGATGTCATTAATCTCAAGAAGGAATAATCAAACATACCAAAAAGAAAAGCTAGAGCTCTGTAACTCTAAGACTGTTGCATGCAAAGAGTAAATGAAGGCAAGAAACTTGGCTATAAAAACCTAGTTTAAGTCTAGTCGACAAAACCATCAAATGGGAAGCAAAGACACCTTCATCCCCACCAGGAGCAGCCAAGCTGTTTGTCTGCTGTGTCAGTGCTCAGGTTTGCTGGCTTGGTTTTCAGTTTTCTACTTCTATTTTAACACCCAAAGGGACGTTAAATACCAAAACCCAAACGAAACACACACTGTGTAACTCTCCTCTTCCGTCATCTCCCAAATCCCATGGAGAAGGGAAGGTGAAGAGCTGCCTGCAAGAGCTGAATCATATCTTTCAGCACAAACACTGCTATTAGGTGACTAAGACCAAAACAACCATCTCTATTTATTGCAAGTGATGCTGTTATTAAAAACTAGACAAGTCCCTTTGCAGCCTCTCACACTCTCTGTGTGACCTGGAGAAACACTGCAGAGGAACTTTGGGCACAGTTCTGAAACACTTTGGAGACCTGGGAATGGTTTGTGTTCCCAGAGTATCCTGCCTAGGGACCAGTGGGATGACAAGAGTCATCCCTGACCCTTCAAACAAGACAAGTGGCTCCAGGAGGGCACAGGGAATGCCTCATGGAAAGGGATGTTGTGCAAGAAAAACACCTGCATACAGGTGGGTTATGCAGACAGGATCTGTCCTGTCTCTGGAGCAGAAGGCATGGAATGAAGATGTGAAAACCTGCCTGTGGGAATCAACCCAGCTTTTGGGAAGAGCCTGGGAGCAGAGGAACTGTGGTGGACATGCAGAGGGACATCCACCCTGCAGAGAGGGACAGCACATAGCACAGAGCAACCACATGGACATCCAGGGCAGGCTGAGCCTGAACTTTCATAATAGAACAAATTTCTATTGGAAAAACCAATTTGCACTGGATTTTCCCAATAAATCCCATCCATCCACCCTCTTCTGCACCATCTCCTGAGAACAGTGCGTCATGCAAAGCCTTCGCATTTTCCTGAAGCAGAGTCAAGCAGAGCTGAGATGAGCAGGGCTCTGCTCCCCCTTCCAAATGCTCACAGAGCTGGGAGGGAAGCCAAGGAGGCTTGAAGAGACGTTTTAAGGAGCTGCAGGTTTTGGCTGCTCCCCTGCAGCACATTGTACCACACTGCCTGGCCTGGGCTCATCCTGCTCAGCAGCATCTGCCACTGCCCTCCCACTGTCCATGCTTTGATCTTTGGATATGGCAGGAGTTCAGGGCCCTGTCCTCTCCAAGAAACCAAACCCAAACAGCCTCCAGTCTGAACACTCACAGCCTTAGGGTAGGTCAAGCTGTCTACAACGTTACTGGTCCATCCCTGTTCCCAAAATGAGGTTTGTTTGGACATAGTATTTAAGGGAAAAGTGAAAACATCTCACATAAAGCAAATTATAGCCCCATGGCTCAAGAAAACCTGCTGTCCTGGTTGTTTCCCTAATTTACAGGACACCCCTTCACTAGATCAGGTTGCTCAAGGCTCATCCAGTCTGGCCTTGAACATTGCCAGGGTTGGGGCAGCCACAGCCTCCCTGGGCAACCTGTGCCAGTGTCTCACCACCCTCACAGGGAAAAACATTTGTCTCACACCCAACCTAGACTTTCCCTCCTTCAGTTTGAAGCCATTACCCCTTATCCTATCATTGCAGCTCCTAACACAGAGTTCCTCTCCAGCTCCTTGTAGCCCCTTCAGATATTGAAAAGTTGCTCTGAGGTCTCCACACAACCTTCTCTTCTCCAGGCTGAACAGCCCCAACTCCCTCAGCCTGTGCTCATAGGTGAGATGCTCCAGTCCTCTTAGGACTTCAGGAAACACTCAGATCTCTCTGTAAGTGAGGATTTCCCTGAATGTGCTTAACTTTGCTATCTGAAAAGTGAGATAAGGTCACTCATGAGCTGCTGTGTGTTGTAAACCTAGGCTTAAAGGTGATGGAGGGACCATCCCCAGGCAAACTCCCTGGAGCTGAGGGGCTTTGTGGGACTCTCAGATCAGTTATTTTACCCTTCAGCAGCTTTTCCTTGCTGTTGCTCAGCTTTCTCCATGTGGGACTCAGCCAGGCTCTGTGGATAAACAAGACCCCACATCCCAGAGCTGCCTGTGCCCTGGCTGTGCTTGGGGACTGTTAATCTTCTATACATGATATCCAAGTTCCTGCTGCCACCACAAAGCAGTGCTAAAGAAATGACTTCAGCAGTGCTGCAGGAACCATGCTGGGTCTAATTGCACCAGGGAGGATCCACATGTGGGGTTTATTATCATTATTTTATTATCATTCTAAAAACACACAAGTTTTAACATAAGTGGCTTCAAATACCACTATTTACTTGCTTATTAGATGGTTGAGCTGGAGACAGAACATCTTCAAAGGAGGATTTTTTTTTTTTTTAGCCGACTGTCTATCTGGGGTTATGGTGCTCTATTACTGCACAAGAAAAATATTTCCTTATTAGCTTTTTCTTTCAGAGCACACACTGAACTGACACTTCCCGCGCTGACAGCTCACCAAGCTTCAAAGCACAACTTCTGTGAGGATGAAGCTGCAGCCCAGCTGACACACGAGCTCTGGGAATGGGGTTTTCTCTCTTTCTGGAGAGCCTGAAGGAGAGGTCCACACTGATTTACACACTGTGTGTGGCTGGAGGTCCTTCAGAGGGGCAGGATGCACTTCCAAGCTGTGACCACAGTCTGGGGACCTGGTTTCTTCTGTAATTCCTCTGCTCCCTATAGCAACTAAGATTTCCCAAATGAGGGGCTCAACCAGAGCTGAGGGATTAACCTTGGACATCCTCAGCCACAAATCAAAGCTCTTCTCCATTTCCCTGGGACATTCAGCTGATTCAGACTCCCCTAAGGGACATTTGCAATGGTCAGAACACACAGCTAAGACAAACCACAGCAATGCTGCATCCTCCTTGCACTCTTTCACCCAAGGCTGCAGGGACAGAAATGCCCTTTCCTATGAGAAATCTTTCCAACACTAGAAAGAAATCATGATCTCTCTGCTCTCGAAGGGAGGATGGAGTTCCCACGCTGTGCTGATGAAGACTGACACCTCCCACCTCAACCTACCTACCCAACAGCACCACTGCCACCATCCCCTCTCCACCTGCCCTCCCCAGGGCACTGCTGGGGACCCACAAGCCTTTCTCCCCCCTTCAGTGCTCCACAGATCTGCTGCCAAACCCAATTCAGCCCCCTGCTGACACCTCCATCCTGTTTGTGGTGTCTTTGGCACTTCCCCCTGCAGCACTTCCAGTCCCCTGCAGCTCCCAGCCCAGTCAGCTCCGGTGCAGCCCACGGCTGAGCCAACAGCAACACAGGAGGCTTCGGCACAGCTGGAGGAGGAGCCTGTCCATGTGCCACACACAGCCTTGGGGTGTCCTCTACGACCCCACACCAGCCAAACCCACAAGTTCATGCACCAAACCTCCAGCTCAGGAGATGCAGAACACTCAGTGCAGCTCAATTGCTGCACTGGAATGGGAATGCACTGCTCAGCGGACTGGGAAACCAACCCCAAAACCCAGCAGCAAACAGGTAGACTAAGAGCAGCTTCACACTGGTATCTAGGTCCAACCATCTGCCATGAGCCCCAGCAGTTGCTTCACTTATTTCTCAGAGACCCAACCCCAGGAGTCAGAAATTAATAAGGAGAAAGGGTAGAGGTTTGTTCACTTTGCATTGTATGAGGCTGCAACACGATCATTCCCTGGGATCATCTTTCCACCCTCCAGGCAGGTGAGGTGGAAGGCACAGTCTGCAGGTACTGGGCAGTAACTGGATCCTGCAGACCCAGATACAGACACTGCCCTGTAAGTGTCTGACAGGGAGAAACTGCCTCCACGACCCTGCTGCAGGGAGAGCTCCCACCACCATGCAGGTAAGTGCTCCAGCCTGTTAGGGCTTCCATAGAATTACAGACTAGTTTGGTTTGGAAGGACCTTAAAGACCATCTAGGTCCAACCATCTGCCATGGGCAGGGACACCTTCCACTAGCCCAGGTTGCTCCAAGCCCCATCCAGTCTGGTCTTTCCCTTTGGATTCTTACCCCATCAGCTTTCATACAGCAGTGTCAGGCCAAGTACCAAAAACTCTCCTCTCCTTTGAGGACACATAATATAATTAAAGGTCCTCATTAGCACCTCAGGCCTCCAGTAACAGCTTAAAGCAGTCAGAAAATATTGAGTTATTCCTCAGTATTTCCACACATGGATGCACAGAAAGAAGACTTTAAACTACAGTGTGGTACTGCCTTCAGTTTGGGATCTTGCTGTGCCATGAGAAGTAGGTTCCTTCAGTTTCTAGGAGAGAAAGAGCCTTAAACTAACAATACAAAGACTACAAATAATGAAACTGATAATACAAAGGCCTAAAAGCTATGATTGTTTGCAGAGGTATAAAATGAAGTGAAGACTTTGTGTCTGAGCAGAATTCAGTGTCCATGTCTCTTCCCCAGCTTTGCAGGCTCCGGACTCACCAGTGGTGCTTCATTCTCTTCAATGTCTTCCTTTTCCACATGCTGCTTTTCGGGGCAGATTTACTGGAGGAATATTTCCTGCACTCATTGCCTTTTCCTTACACCGACGCAAAGGCTCTGGAGATCAGGGAGAGGGCCAGGAAGCTGGACATGGATCCTCTAAAGGCCAATCTCTCTTACCCTGTCAGCACTGCAGCAACATGCTCTGACAGAGAGATATTTTTGCTCATTCTGGTCTGCAGCAGCCCAGAAAACAGGACGAGGCGCAACGTGATCAGACAGACATGGGGCAACGTGACAGACACGGAAGGGTATGCTGTGCTGACTCTGTTTGCTGTAGGAAAAGCAGCTGCAGTGACCACCCAGCTGGAGCTCAATGAAGAGGCTCAGCAGCACCGAGACATCCTCGAAGGCAGTTTCATCGATTCCCCCGAGACGCAGACACAGAAGCTGATGATGGCTGTGGAGTGGACAGTGACTTTCTGTCCCCACGCGAGGTACATCCTTAAAGCAGACGAGGACGTGTTTGTCGGTGTGCCCAGCCTGGCTGGCTACTTGCTGAGCTTAACACAGCTAGAGGACACCTACCTCGGGAGGGTCATTCATCACAGAGTGCCTGACAGAGACCCCAAGAGCTCTGGCTTTGTTCCCACCCAGCAGTATCCAGAGGAGTTCTACCCAGACTACTGCGATGGCAGAGCGTTCGTCATGTCCCAGGACGTGGCTCGCAAGGTGTACGTGGCAGCCAGGGAGGTGCCAGTGGTGGTGCCCCCTGACATCTTTGTGGGGCTGTGTGCTAAGAAAGCTGGCATCACCCCCACCCACAGCTCTCGCTTTGCTGGGGAAAAGCACATCAGCTACAACCGCTGCTGCTACAAATTCATTTTCACCTCTTCCAACATGCAGGAGGATGAGCTGTTTCAGGACTGGGAGGAAACGAGTGATGGGGAGGATTGTTCCTTGCTGGAGACTTACTACAGCCTGGTGTCCTGCAAGGTTCTGACCTACATTGATAAGTTCAAACAGTTTAACTTGGATAGAATCAAGAACGAGGTGCTTCATTTTGTCAATTAGGATTTCATTTTTGTGAACAGTCTGAGTTTTCTCTTTCCAGCTGTTTTATCCTGCTTATATTAACAGTCTCCAAAAGTTATCTCCCATCCCTTCAACAGCAAATGGATCCTCAGTGCTACAGCAGCAGCAGACGTGGATGTGCTCTATGTAAGTACCTACAACTGCATGCACACAAGTAAGAGTATTCCAAGAAACTCTCTCTGTATCCAGTGTTTCTCAGACTTTTGAGTCCTTAAAACTCCTTCTGCATTTTTCATCTGAGTGAGGAATCACCTGCTTCCAAAGGATTTTGTAACAAAGGGAAAGCTTTCCATCCACTAAAGGAGCTGCTTCTGAGCAGCACCAGAGAAACACAGAGGAACAGACACTGAGCCATCATGGGAATTGCTCAGGTAAACAGCCTGGGGAGATTCTAGAAAAGGAATCCAAGTTGCTTGTTAAAGGATCTTGTATTCCTGTCAGCCATGGCATCAGAGAAACACTGACAGAGCAGCTCTGTGACACATCATCATGCTGGAGAACATCAGCAGTGAAGTCAGAACAAATCCACCAGCAAACTGGCAACACCAACCAAATGTAAATGTAAAAATTCCCCAAAGTAGAACAAGTCACAGAACACAAAACCCACCCACACCTCCATCCTCCAGATTAACTCTGCCACAGCCTCTCTCTCAGCAGTAGAGGGACCAGCTGGACAGACTGGCTGGACAACTGAGACACACAGGCACCTTGGAGGGCCTCAGCTCCTCTTCCCACTGTGCCTGAAGGATTTGAGATGTGCTCCCAAAGATCCACAATCCTGAAGCACCAAGCTATGCTGCTTGTTAACCTCAGTTAAATGAAGAGTTTTGGTTTGGGGTTTTCTGCTTGTTTGGTGTTGTTTTGGTTTTTTTAACCAAGTTCCCCAAGTTTAAGGTGTTACCTCATTTCTCCTTCTCCACCATTCCATGGCTGGTTTTATCTGAGTTATCTCCACCTGTTACTTTAAGGGGGGGAGGAAAGAGACAACACACTTAAATCTTTCCATTTATATCAGATATAGCAGCACCAGCATGTCATCCATATGGCAATGTACAGCAAAGAGAGGGAATAATCAGGGGTAAATGTCTGATCAATTAATCAATGTTGAGCTCAAAGCTCAACAAAATAAAGCATATGTGCATATATTAAAAAAGACTCCCCTTGTTTGGCATCTCTGCCTGTTCTAAAATATTGCCTTTGGCAAATGTACCATGCAAAACAGATGCTAAAGACTTAGCACACAGAGTAGCCTTCAAAAGCAACAGCTGAAAACACACACGGAAGAGACTCATGAATTGCAGAAAAGGTTTATATATCGATTTCTTTCACTGAAATTTTAGCATATGGCTCATACAGAGCTACCAGCACACAAAGCCACCTAAAATAACAAAGCTCAACTGCCCAAACAAGTGCAAACTAAGGACTTTAGACTCTTTTCATTCCTTCTTCAGTGCTTTCTTGTTTTTCTGACGCAGGATTCACGAAGCCTCCATGCTCTCTCTGCTTGCAAACCACACACTGTTCTGCTCTTCTCACCAGCAGATGTTTATTATGCACATCTAGGACGAAAGCAGCTGCAGCAGTGTAAAATGTAGGATGACAACTTGTGTACAGCTTGGATCACAAGCAACAAGGCAGATCACCTCCACTCAGACAGCTTCTTGAACACTAAAGGACCTTCCCCAGCCCCACAGCTCCTCTGAGCCCACTTTGACTCCTTGGCAGCAATTTCTGGCAGGCAGTAGCAGCTGCAGCTAACTCTGCTCTGGAAGAAGTGAGTCAGATCCTCCTGCTTCACCTGGCAGAGTGGGGACACAGGGCAAGTAGTTTTCATAGTCACACCTGACATGACACACTATTAAAATAAGCCCAAGGTAGTAATTTTCTGTTCTGCTGTGCTCCCCCCCCAGCTATTCCTTAATTTGCTTATGTCCTCAACAAAAATAATACAAACCTTTTATACAAAGTACATTGTGGTCTCTGTTTGTGGACAAGGACACGTGTCACTAGATGCCCAGCCAGTCTTGCTTGTCTCCCACAGCTAGCTGACACTTTCAACAGAAGGTTCCAACTTCCCAAGGTACTGCATTTCCACACTCTCAGTTCCCTTGTGCCCTCAAACACTAAAGATTTATGTTCTTACCCTTTTTACTCTAACTCAGGTAACTAAAGTCATACATTTCTTTAAATAACACTTAAAAAAAGTTTATCTCTGTTAAAAAAATAGTGTAAACAATTGCAGTTTTGGTTCTGAAGTAGCTACAGCTCACACTCCCTTTGAGCCAGTAAACTGAGCTGCCACACAATGTGGCAGCCAACAAGAGAGACAAAGCTCCCAGCTTGGTCTCATCCACTAGTGTGCACTCACTTGTTTTTTAAAAGGGCTAAAAGCTTCTTCTTAAATCCCCAGCATAAAATGTAAACAGTATTTAGGTTTATTCATTCAGGCAAGACTCACATCCAGCAGGTTGAGCACAGGAGAATCCAGGTCGCACTCCCTCGTGTGGACAGAGTGGCACTGGCTTGATCTCAGCCCCAGGATTCTGACAGAACAGAGTGTGTTCCATGCAAGTGCCAACTTTGGCAGGTATAAAAAAAAAGGATCAAAAAGAGAGAAACTATGGCAGCATCTGAGGTTACAAACCCGAAGGTGTTTTGGTGTTTGTTTTTTAATTGAGTTGTAACCTACTGGGAAAACAAGATAGAAGCTCCAGACCCAACAAACAGTTGAACCAAACACTGATAAATTCTGCAAAGTGGAACAGTCAGGAGTTGGGAAGTGCTCACCTGTGTTCCTTGCCTCAGGGCAGCACACAGACAACCTCTGTGATGACATTCTATGGGGAAATACCAAATAGGCTTTGATTTGCTCTCATGACTCATTTCAAATGGAGCCAAAATATCTCCACGTTCCTTTAAAGACACAATTAAAGACACTCCAGAGTGGAGAGTCTTTACACTTTGTAGCTTAATACCTGTTTCAGTCATCAGTTTTGCAAGAGGGGACCAAGGACACCATTGACATTATTCTGCTCCTTCCACAGCTGTAGTAGAAACTGCCTTAACATAGTAAGGGCCCTCATGCAGGTAAGCCCTGAGCCTCAGGTAATACTGATTCCCAAAGATCTCTGCAATTGTTTTGGAGTTCACAAGGGCCTTAACCAGTTCATATTTAGCATCCTTGGAAGCTTTGTCAGGCTCCACAGATCTGTCCACGATGTACTCCACAAACCCTGGGCTGTCCAGCATCAGCTTCTGGGCCCATGGTTGATTTGCAATAGCCTAAAGAGGAAGACAAAAAGATGTGGGAGGAGGGGAAACATCTCACTGTAAAACCCCCAGAAAGCAGTTACACAGTAGGTTGTTCAGCAACTAGCCAAGGAGCAGGAAGAATTGAGTGAGATACTCATTGCACAGTGGTTACACTCTCTGCACTCAAATCAAGCAGCAGGGTCTGACTCCGCAGAGCAGGCAGAGCTCAGTGCTTAGCTTTGAAGTTTGAAGGGAATTATCACAGCAGTGCCTCTGGTATCAAAGCAGCTCCCCAGAGCACAGCTCTTGCCTCTTTCCCCTCTCCACTTGATAAGAATATGAGCATCACAGACACGTTAGCTGAATCACTTGAACAGTGAACGCAAGGGAGGCATGAGGAAAAGGCCTATTTCTGACCACTCTGGGCTTCAACCAGAAGTTTGTGGCATTCACTTTGAAAAAGTAAATCCATCTGAGACTGAATTCAACAACTCACAATTCAGTTCAACACCATTCACTACCTGCTCTCTAAAAGCCAAAGGCACTTACAGTGAACACCCTCAAAGCCCCACAGTGGAGGTCAGGGAAGGGCTGAGTGCTGATGCTCCTGAACAGCTCCAGGGGGTGACTGGACAGGGATGTGAACCAGCATTCAGTCATTCTCAAAAGGTCTTCTGTCTGCTGCTCTGGCTGCACAAATCACACCCAGGAATGAAAGAGTTTGGTCAGGATCATGCAAAGCTTTCAGGTTTTATGTTCAGTAGTTAAGAAGTTATTTAAAACTTAAATTAAAATTTCAGACTAAACTGAAACAGTTCAAGTGTAGCTTCCTTCCATGAATGAAGAAGTGACTTTCTAGATTTCTGTATCTTTCTATTTCAAACTTAAATTGATGTTGGCACACTAGGTAAGTGATGAGCTGGAGTGCAAGACAAATGACAATGGCTGAACTCACTCATTTAGAGCTACACTGCTAAAACTGGACCTCAGGAACACACACAGGGATAAGAAGTTTGCCACCATCCCTTTGAGCACAGGAAATTAACCTGTTTACTCTCATTCCCTTATCCATGAAGTCTTGAGTTCACATTTATAGACCCTGCAGAACAAATGGTTTCTTACAAACCAACTCAGACTGTAAGCAACCACATAAATCAGGGAATGCCAATGACACAGAACACCAGAACTAAGCTGGATGCTGCTAAAGGTCTTCACACCGTTACCCAGGTGCATAATAATTTCATTCTGGTAGATGTAAAGAAAATAACCCACCAAACAGCAACTTACAGGCAAGTAAAGAAGGGATGAAATGGCATCCAAGCACCGAAGTCGCAGCTCGGTGGGGGCATTCTTGGCCTGGTGTCCTATTTTGCTCAACAGATTTTGAAATCTACTTCCTTTCAAAATAAAAACAAAGAGCTCTTAATTAATTCAGCCAGAGCTCAGCAGGAGTGCAGAGTTACCAGGCAGTCACATTATCAATGTATTTGTTAGGTAAATAAATGTGTTTTCCAAACCCTTTCTCACACCAAACCAACTCACTCCTCTATTACAACATCCTGAGAAGGTTTTAGCAAAAAAAAACCAAAAAAAACCAAAAGATACTAACTGGTTTTCTGTAAAACCTGTTTGCCTTCCACATTTGATCCCAGGATTCCCAGTGTGTCCACAGCCACTCCAATCATGGTTGGATCCTGACTCTCTGCCATCTCAAAGACTTTCTCCATGAAGACAGGGTATCGCTCGCAGATCTGCTGGGGACTGTCCACCACAGCCAGAGTCCCAAAGAACTTCACAAATCCTGAGGAGACAAGGCCAAAAACAAGCACTGAGTGGAGCAACAATAACCTTAACAACGACCAAAACAAACAGACAATGTGAGGTTGTTCTGCTGCTAAACTGGTATTAAGTTTGAACAGTGCTTGTAAAAGGCATCGGAATAGAGAGAACTAAGGAACAAGTCAATGTTTTGGCAGTTACTTAATTCATGACCTTTAAATTCCTAGGAAAAGGCTACAATAAAACAAACTTCCAACCTACAGTGCAGCCTGTCCAGATCTTACCAGCACTACCACTAGTTCAGTCATTATTCATGTCACACTGTCCTTCAACACTTTTTATAGCTCTAGTATTTTATATACCCAAGCTAACACTCAAACTCACTAGAGGCCTAAGTCCTCCCAATTAAACTCATTAACAAAAGCAAGCAGTAAACCCCTGAAAACAGGAAAGGCAGGATGTCACCTGGCAAATAGAAGCCTGAGAAAGGATCAGACTCTGCACCAAGGATGATGTTTGATATTTTATCAATCACTCCTTGCTGAGCAAGATACTGACGTCCATGGGGGGTGTGGGCCAGGGACGTCACCATCTCTATGCAGGTGGCTCTGGAACACAGGAACAGTTGTTTTGGTTTACTTACATGGGTTTGAAGTACTCAGGGGGTAAGAAAAAACATATCCTTAAGACAAAATCCAAACAAACAACCCCAAAAGTCCAACCCTCCTCTAAGCTCTTACTTTAGGTGTAAAGTTTCAGGTGTAGGAAAGAATTTAAAGTGTTTCTACTGCAGCCCAACATTCAATGATCACATCACACTGGAGCAGCTTCATTTTGGCTCTCCAATTTATGTATCAAGTGTTATATGGATAATAAGAGTGATTAGGCATTGGACTGTGCTGCCCAGGGAGGTGGAGTCACCACCCCTGGAGGTGTTCAAGGACAGACTCGACGTGGCACTCAGTGCCATGGTCTACTTGACATGGTGGTGTTAGGTCATGGGTTGGACTTGATGATCTCAGAGGTGTTTTCCAACCTGATTTAGTCTGGGATTTTACACTCCAGGTGGTCTGGAAACACACAGGCAAGTGTTTAAAGACTAACTATCAGAGTTTTAACAAGGAGGGAAAGATCATTGGCAAACTCAGCACTGACATACCTGACGAGCACATCATCTCCAGTCAGCTCTCCAATTAACTCAGCTATTAACCCACTGTTTGCACAGTAATTCAGGGACTCTGCTGACACTGAAGATATCTCAACAATTAACTACAAGAAGGCAAAAAGAAAGGACAGTTTATAAAAAACATGATAATGGTAACTCATAGTAATGGCCAAATACACCTTATAATGCTGATTAACCATGTATATATTAAATACAGAGTTTCCTGATGTTTTGCCTGAAACATGTTCCTCAGGAGTCCCAAGTTCCCAGCACATGAATCTGATTTCTATTCACAGTCACCTTTTCCTCAGAAGCTCATCACTGCTGTCCCCATTAAGCTCTAGAATGGTTACATTGCATTCTTTCTCCTTTGCCATACACCTCTGCACTGACACTTGGCATCTCTCTCCCACCTCTCCCTCCTCCAGTTGCAACAGCAGTTCACATCCAAAGGTTCATAGACTACACAGCTGTTTTATCTTCAGAGAGACAAACATTCTGTTGTGTCTTTAGTACCTCTCTTTAGCCATTTCAATGCCCTAAGGCACTACAAGCACTACAAGTCAGAAAATGAAAGGTGCAAAGAATAATTGAGTTTTGTCCCATAAAGGGAGAAAGAGAAGTTATGACACCAACACTGCTATACCCTTCCTACTCCTTTTGAGCTTTGACAGCAAGAAAGGTTTGTAAAGCAGTGATAAACACTGATTTGAAAGCCACCCAGCACAGCCTGTGACTCAGCAGAGCTGCAGAACCACAGCAGTGCCACATCCTCACCTCATACACTCTGTAGCGAACGACATCACTCGTGGCCATCACATTCTTCAGGTCACTCAGCAAATTGCTGACAAACAAAGCCTCTAAGCCATCCTGTGTCTGGGCTATTCTGGAGAGAGACTTGATGGCCTGGAAGCAAAACCAGGAGCTTGTTGTCAAAAACAAAGTAAAGAAAAGTCAAGTCCACCAGGCTCAGTTCCAATGTTGTTTATTAACTTATCAAATCCAGTTACACATTTGAGTTGTGATTCACTTCTCACTTATGAAAGGCAGTTTTGGTTACTATGAGCCAAATGTGCATCAAATTCTGATCAATGAGTTTGGCATCAAATGTATAACAGCTCTACTTAAGTTTTCTAGCACAACTCAGCAATTTCTCAGTTTAAGGCACCTTATAACCTGTTTCCAACACTTCGAGCTCTCTCCTCCTTAGAGAAGAGGATCTCAGACACATGGAAAAGGTGGTTTGTGTAGTGCCTGCACCAGTTTCCAGAGAAATTAGACAAAGCCATGCTTACCTCCTTAGCCACTGCTATCTTCTCCCCACCAATGCAGTTGATTATTTGCCTTAACAGCTCAGGACTGTTGAGAATTTCTGTCACAGCTTCTGAGTTTTCAACAATCCTCCCAACCTAGAGATGATCAAATAATTACCAGAAAATAATAGTAAAACAATCCTTTTACACTGTAAGGACATTCAAGAGGACCAGAAGAGCCATTTCTAGTCAGTCCCAGACAGACAGAATCCCCATTTTTGGAGCTTTTTGTGTCAAAACTCCCCTGACCTGAGCAGTCTGTGCAGACTGACCCTGTACCTCAAACTTCTACAACTCCATTCCCAACCACAATGTTCCCATATCACAGAAAAGATTCTGTTCTTTTAAACTACTGCAACAAGTGTCAAGTTCTCTTTTCCTCCTTTTTTTCTTGTTTCCACAAGTACTGTCCAAAGTATCCTGAATATCATCGTGTTGCTGCTGTTAATTCTTACAGCACCTGCTGCCAGTGCTGGCTTGGAAAGCTTTAACCCAGAGAACATGGCAGAGGTTTCACTTACATGTTGCTTCTGCCAAAATATTGGTTTGTATGTTACATTTAGCAGATATATATCATAAAGGGTTATAAACCAACACACTGCAGAATCATCATCCTGAGTGGAGTGAGGAAGAGCACAGTTCCTGCAGATAACATTTGCTGTAGAGCTTTTAGCACACATTAGGGCATGAAACAGCAACACATGAGGACAACAAACCCAGCCTGGCTCAAGGCAGAGCTCTGTCCCCTCCTCCTGGAGGAAACGCTGTACCTGCGAGATGGTCAGGATCTTCACGGAGTCATCAGGGTGGAAAAGCCCTTTCTGAAACTCTTCCCGGAGGTTCTGGATCAAATACAGCGGATCCAGGGCCTGCAGGAGCCTCTCCAGGATGGAAACACACGCAGACACCTGCTCCCTGGGCAGGACAGAGAAAACACCGAGCTGTTAAACGGGGCACACTGCCAGAAGCCCCTAAACCCTCAGCTGTGCCACCCCTGCCCTGAAGGAATCATAGAATCAACTGGATTGGAAGAGACCTCCAAGATCATCAAGTCCAACCCTACCGTGGTTACCAGACCATGGCACTAAGTGCCACATCCAGTCTCATCTTGAAAACCTTCAGGGATGGTGAATCCACCAGCTTCCTGGGCAGTCGCCTGATCACTATCTCTGTAAAAAAAT